GGGCGCTGCACCTCGAACGATCCTACCTCTCCGGCAGCTCGCGTGAAGGCACCGAGGTACACATTCACGAGGTGCGGGAAATATCTGACCTCAGTCTGGAGGAAGCGCTGTACACCAAGAACCGCGAGGAGAAGTCCTACACCGAGCAGTCATCGGACATTGACATTATGTTTGAGCTGGCACCGGTCAGTGTGTACAGCGAGGAGGACCCTCCGCCAGCCCACGCCCCGCCTGGCGTGGTGGTGGTGCAGGAGTCGGCAGGGCGACCCGGCTACGTCCTGCTGCGCCATCACCACAGCCGCTCGTGCCGGCGGCCGAACCGCAACTTCCTCTCCGGATACACGGTGCGCAAGAGGATGGAGCTGTTCGGAAACGCGCTGCAAGACGCTGCCAAACGCCTCGGCATCCGCGTCACCAACTTCGAAGTCGGCGGCGGTCCGGCCTCCTGTATCGCCGTCGACGACGAGAACAACAGCCGCATCGACCTGGTGCCGTGCGTGCCGTGTCGCTGCTGGCCGAGCGAGCAGTACCGGCGCCGGCGGCGACCCTCCGGCTACCCGGACGCCGCGCTTGTGGCCAGCCTGTGCGCGGCGCCCGCCTTCCTAGTGGTGGCCGGCTCGCAGAGGCTCGACAAGGACGCCTGGCGACTCTCCTTCTCCCGTCACGAGACCATTCTGCTGCGATCGCTGTCACATGAGCAGCGCATCTGTCTGACCCTGCTGAAACACTGCAACGTGATGCTGGGCCACCGTTTCTCCAGCTACCACCTGAAGACGGCGCTGATGTGGGTATGCGAGCAGCGCCCGCGAGAGCTCTGGACCTGGGACCGGATGCACGAGTCAATGACTGCCGTGGTCGACTACCTCCTGGAGAAGGTCTCGCGCAGCGACCTCCAGTGCTACTTCTGGCCGGAGATCAGCCTGATGGCTGGTTACGGCATGGACGTGCAGCGGGATGACGTCCTGAACCTGAAGCACGGTATGGCGCTCGCCGCGCGCTACATGCTGGCATGTCTCCTCGACTCGAGTGCCGGTGACCTCTTCCAGAAGCTGCTTGGCCACCACATGAACGGAGAAAAGTTTTACCGGCACTACTACCGCGACACACTGCGTCAGGGCCTGAACGGTTTCTCCATGCTAAGCTCGTCCAGCCGGCCCGGGATCGACGCCAGCCTCTGGTCGGACAACTTCCTCAGGGTGTTCCAGTGGGAGAACCTGCCGAACCGCTGCAGAAAGAGCAGCTGGTTTGCCGAACATGGACTCGGCACGGACAGCAGCGAGGAAGGTCAGCAGCCCGAGGATGGCTGGTGAGAAGCCCAGTGCCAGCTGGTGAGAAGTCCGAGACGGTTGGTGAGAATCCCAGGCACAAGCGGTGTTGTGCTCGGGGACGGGATGTGAGAAGTTCGGGGACGGTCTCTGAGAATTTTTGGAACAGATAGTGATCAACAGTCATGTGCATGGATCCGAGTGATTGGTCTATGATCTCAGTGGATCTCGAAGCAGACTGTAGGCTAGGATCAATGATCCTACCGGATCCGGCGTGAAAAATTATCCTGGATCCGTGATCTCAAAGGATCTGACGATAAACCAAGAACATGGATCTATGATCCGAGTGGATCCCACCATGCACAACATTTGAAATCAGGTTTTCAAGTGCCTTTATGTAATAAGTGTCACAAAACTATGGATTATGACGTGCAGTCACATAAAATTACTAAAACAGAACGTTTGTGAGTTGCAGCGAGTGATTTTTTGGGATTTGTGTTGACAAAAAATAAATGAGGATCTATGATCTCACTGGATCTCTAAGCAAAAATTGGACTCGGATCTATTATCCTTACGGATCCTTCGATAAATTAAAGAGCTGGATCTATGATCCAGACGGATCCGAGATCAGAATCCGTGGGATCAGATCCCAGATCCATTTTATCGGATCCATGCACATGCCTGCTAGGGAATCTATAGAATGCCTGGTCGGTCATGCATTCTATAGAATATATGATTCCACACATTGCCTGTGACATGTATACGTGATAATAACATTCTATAGAATGTCTGATTCCACACATTGCCTGTAACATGTATACGTGATAATAAAAGTGTCACCCTGAATCTGAGCGGATGATCTGCATGAGAGAGGGTGTGGAGCCGATTTTGATCGCACCTTAGTCTTTTGTGTTTCACATCCTCTAAATGCGTTTTTACACGAGTACGTACTAAATTCCGCATCAGAAAGCAAATGATGCAAACAATTGTCTATGTAGATGGATATCTTGCAGTTCGTCGGCTTGATCGCGCGGTATACAGCTTCTTTGACCGTCCTTTGAATGTATTTGAGTCATGTACCGAAATTAAATCCACTCATTTTTCCGGTCACATACAGTTTAACATGATACCGCTTTTCGAAGGAGGTGCTAGCACCTTTGTTTCTTTTTAACACTCCAACGTGCACTCCCGTGCACATAGGCGCGGGAGCCGGGGGGGGGGAGGCAGTGGGGGCAGCTTACCCCCCCCCCCCCCAACTCCGGGGCCGTGGGGGCGATGCCCCCACAACTTTGAGACGGAATACCGCACTTTTTGCAAATATATATATATATTTTTTTTTGTTGAAAAAGCCAAGGGATGAAAAATAAGTGGCCTAAAACCGGTGAGAAAACTAACTTTGGGGGTACCCTAGGTCGATCTCAATTATGGTGTGCCCCCCCCCCCGTCTGAAAGTAGTTCCCGTGCACCTGACGCTGACGGTTGCCGATGCCCACAGGACAAGCACAACACAGTTGATAGATGTTCATTTCGGCAAGAAGGCAAGGAACTTTTTAAGACGAGGTTTTATTTTTATTCCTAAAATAGAGACATCACATCACAAAGTGACATTCAGATGGTTAAAATTCAACTCATATGACTCATATCTGTTCTTAATTCAATCTGAATTAAGTGGGCATTACTACCATAAGTTGCCACCACGTGCTCGTACTTGATATAAATTTACCTTCTTATGGCACGTGTTAACACATGACATGCGTTTCATGTATCAATATACATATCAATAGACACCCGGAATGACCTTATCTCACTGAAGAGACATGTACGCTTCACCCTTTCTCAAAACACAGCTCCTCATACAACGATGATCATATGACAATAATGACACATACTATAACGCCACATATAGACATGGTTGAAACAAGTACACAAGGAATCAAGTCCTATAGGATTTGATTCACTCGGGTCACCGATGCTTTGTTCGCGTACCACTGCTATGGAGCAGACGCGCCCGCCGCGCCCTTCCCGGCCTGACAACAGTGCAAATATGATACAAATGTGACATATGAACGGCATGACGGGGATAGCTCTCATCTCATCCGACGACACTGTCATACACTCGACCTAAAGAATGTCATATCATATAGACACCGTGGAGCGGCTATTTACACTGATAGCAGGATATTGAGTGTCTCAAAATTAAAATTCTTATTTCTGGCACCTACATGCGTGCGTCTAGGTATTGTATACCTATGCGCACATGCGTACAAACGTGCCTCCTTATCATGCCTTCGGCGAAGCTACATTCCTCAGCGCTTATACCAACACATATCTAAAAATGCAAGGTGTTTATAAAATGAATATAATGTCATGAGTCAGCCTGGTTATTGATTCACCTTTTTTTATCAACGCAATCATTGATTCATGCGATTTTTCACCGTTCACCGTTCGATTCCTTCAAAAAATTCGGTGAATCGATACCTTTCGATTCAGAGAATCAAAAAAACAAAACAGGAATGATTCACGTTTGCTTCAGCCAAAAAGCTATTGAACGATTCTTTTTTCGATTTGATTAGAAAATAATCCTGATTCAGTGATATATGTATTTGTTGTGTTCTTTTTGTTGTCATGCAATTATCATCACATGACAGTAGTCATGACATTTGTGGATAATGAACTATGTTCACTTCACAATTTCTTTTTTAAGTTCATTAATCTTTTTTTTTAATCGGCCCTGATGGCCAATGCCGTTTGATTCAATCATGGCTTGTGAATCGATATCGAACAATCTTGACGGTGAATCAAATTTTTTTGATTCAACAAATTTTGTTTGATTCAATCCAATTGAATCAATCACAGGTGAATCGAATACCAGTCGGATACGAGTGCATACAACATTAAAGAAAGCTCACAATAAATATGTTTCGTCCAACAGTTAAAAATGAATGAATAGGTACCCACACACTGAGATGGAAAGCAACAGTCGTTCGTGTAAGATAGTCATCTGACCGCAATTAGACTGTGATTTAATCAGGCACAGACTTCTCTATATAGAGAAGTCTGTGAATCAGGTAATGGTAAAATGCTTTGTGCACTAAATTGTACCGTATGTAACATACAACCAACCAGCATCATGCCGGCTCGCTACATTCATATTACTTATCAGACTTCGCATCTAATTTATGCATCACCATGGAATGACAAATGAGGTACTTTTTTGATAAACTTTGTAAGTGAAATAGTGATCATCTATTAATAAAACCATTTTGTATTTAAGCCATTAGGCTAATTTAGGAAAAATAACAATTTAATTTGTCTGCTATCCTGGCAATTCTATTAATATTTCGATGATTCTTCATCGACCCTTGAGTCGTTCCTTGAGCCTCACTTCTATTTCTTTAAAGTTAGGTACCTCTCACCCTCTCTCCCTCCTTCCCTCCCTCCCTCCCTCTCTCCCCCTCTCTTCTCTCTCTCTTTCTCTCCCTCCCTCTCTCTCTCTCTCTTTCTCTCTCTCTCTCTCTCTCTCTCTCTCTCTCTCTCTCTCTCTCTCTCTCTCTCTCTCTCTCTCTCTCTCTCTCTCTCTCTCTCTCTCTCCTTTTCTCCCTCTCACACATTGACCGGGTTCACGCAGCCTTCGCCGACTCGCTTCTGCGTCGAGATTCCGTTCAGCTGCAGCGGACTACTCTTCCGAAGCGGGGCAGGCCGCGGAACCGGTGCCGGAGAGGCTGAACAGCTGCTGGCTGAGACCCCCGGCGTGGTCGTCAGAGGGGCCTGGAGACATACACACCGTATAGTTAGAACAGTGGAGCTTGCTAAGCGGGTGAGCAAAGTGCATCATTTCTGAGAGTGGCAGCGCCTTAGCTAACGGCGACGAAGCTCTGGTAGAGCTGATGTGCATCAACATTCGCCAAAATTCATGCATTTAAGCATAGAGGTATATATTGTGTAGTGTTTTTATGTATATGACAATTTTAGGACGGTTTAAAGCATTCAAAACTGTTGCACAAACTCGATCAATGATGAAGTAATTATGAATACACCCTGTGGCGGAGCGTCTTACCCGGAGGCTGGAGCCAAGCTCAGTAAGCTGTCCGTTGGAGCCCCGGTAGATTCTGTACTGAGACACCACGCACACTATGCACCACAGCTGAAAACAGCGGGGTAATGTACGGTGTAAGTGCGCATAAAAACACAGAAGTCGTGGTAAAACGACGACAAACGTAATTGCATAGTGAGAGAAAAGAAACGTTCAGAGGCGTAAAAGTGTACGAGTTGAAAACGTCGAGAGGTATGTAACGTTATGGTTTGGTTTGGCGATACATGGCTACATCACTTTGAGAAGTGTTATCACATTGCCACACTCATGATCCCAAGCAAATAAAGAACGGTTTACGGACGGGGACGACAAATCCTGCAAATGATGTTCGTTCGATGATTAGCGACGACTTTTAGTTATAAAATCGAGGTCATCGCTGAAAATGCGTGTCGCCACTTTAACCAACTTCACGAACAAGTGCGTGTTTAGTTCACTGCAAAATGGGGACATGCGCAGGATCGTAAGTTGTCGTAAGACTATCTTCCGCCCATGCGTGATCATTTATAAACTGACGTGGGTCTTTTACACAATAATGTGATCATTTACGCTCAGACGCAATCTTTACGCCCAGACGTGATCATTTACGCACAGCCGTCATCTTTTACAACCAGGCGCGCAACTAGCGAGCACCTATCGTCGCTACTCACGTTGATTGCCATTGTCATGAGATCGAGCAGCAGAAGTGTGGCCGCGGTTCCGTCCACCAGATGACGGGTGAGCTGGAAAGCAGAACAGTTTTTAGTGTGCCGTTCATTGGTTTACAGCCTGAGTCTGCCGTTCATTGGTTTGCAGCCCGAATCCAGTATCGGCAGTACATGTCCATTGTTTGTCGGTTTATGTGAGCATTTGCTGACCGAAACCGACCCTTTTAGGTTGTGTCTGCTTTCAAAACACATCATAATTCTTTACGCTAGCTTGTAATAGACGATACGCGAGTGCAGATGTAAAATTTTAAAAATTAAATGAGACCTTAAATCTTAATGATACATTGTACAGTGTACTGCTGTCAGATATTTATGGGTTGTTACAAATCAAGAAACATAATTGTAAAACATATCTACAAGTAAGAAAATATATCACAAGACGAAACGTGTCCATATAGGATAACTTATTTTGCTACATCTGAACAATTAACAAGAAAGATAAATCATTCATACATAACCGATCTAGACAGATCATTATACGATACATTACCGATCATTACGTGTGTGTAAAAACCTTTAAAAAAGTGATACTGAAGTAGAAATTACCAAGTCCTGGACGGAGATGCTGATGACGGCGACGAGGTCGGCGACGATGGTGGCTGTTAGGGTGCAGATGATGGGGACCAGCAGCCACGCGCGTCCCTGGGGGGACATCACATGGGAGGCGGTCAGAGGGGCGAGTAGCGAGACGTGACCCTAAGGGAGGTAAAATAGGGCCGTCAGGGTGCAGATAGTGAGGACCAGCAGCCACGCGCGTCCCATGGGGGGGGAGACATCACATGGGAGGCGGTCAGAGCGGGAGGAGAGAGAGAGAGAGAGAGAGAGAGAGAGAGAGAGAGAGAGAGAGGAGAGAGGAGAGAGGAGAGAGAGAGAGGTAGATGAAGGGAAAAAAGAGATAAAGGAGAGACGAGAGACCGAAAGTGACAGAAAGAAGAAAGAAAAAGGGAGATAAGGGCAGAATAGAGCAAAAGAGGGAGAGAGAAAAGAGTGATATGACGAGAGTCTGAAAATTCATTGCGCTGGTGTCGATGTCTTAGTCTAGTTCCTCGCTGGGCTTCACGAGTATACTCAGCAGGGAAGTGACGTGAAGTGGCGTTCAGCCAATTAGTTTAAGTGCCCCGTAAAGCTGGAACTTGTTCCTTGAAGCGTGTTCATGGAAGTTCGTGGAATCACACTGGACAGTCGAATTGATAGCAATTTCCGATCTAATCTACATCTTCAGATAGAACATTCTACTTTTATATGGCACGTCACCCACATGAAAATGTTGATCGGAAACCTTTCAACAGTATTCTGACAGAGGGTTACTGACGTCAATGAAAATATATCTTTCAAAAGAAAATACGAAAATATCTCAGTACGCGTCAGCATTTGGACACCTTTCTACGTCACTCCATCCCCTTTGAAATGCCCTTCGACGCCCCCGTCTGCGTGGCTAATGGCAGATTATGAGATCAAAGCCGGAGTTCCATTAGGACCCTGAACGGGCGAGCAATGGAACGTACGGTTGTACGCTGCAGCAGCTGAATGCTGTGTGATGTCCAGCTGATAATAAACCCAGACCAAGATCAGACATCGAGAATGCTGAAGTCGCCCTCAGTAGTCTCCGAACAGTATTTTCGAACCAAAAGAAGTTGTATGAAAAAGACGTAACCCCAGAACTGGACACACGCATATAAAACTTTTTTGTTAAGTGAAGAAGAAATATTATTCGAAGAATAACCGAATTAACAAGATAAGAAAAAAAACATGGGAACCGAAATAGTTTTAGGCAAAATATTTAAGAGCTCAATCGTAAAATTACATGTATTTGTTTGGGCGCTTGCATGCAATTTCATGTCCAACTTATGCATTTGCACATGCAACATTGATTTAAATCTCACCTTGCAAAGTCCCATGAGGAGCATGCCAGCAGAGATGATACCCAGAGTGAAGAGGGTGGCCATCATCGCCAGCAAACCTGCCAACGGACGTCGAGAAACCGTGAGTTTTAGGCGAGAGTGGACTGAGTTTATTAACGTGTAATAGCTACTTATCGAAGGCTGCAGGATGTGAATATCTTGCAGCCAGTCGTTGCTCCGTCAAGAATCATTACCGACTTTTTGCTGGGGTCGTGACTGTTCAAATGCTTGAAGTTACATTTTCACAGATTAAATTCAAATTTCAAACTTGTACCATTTTTATGCATAGTAGTGTGATGAATGGTTGGCGGCGGTGGCGGAACGGGCGGTTTTATAAACGTCTGGCTAGTGGCTAGCCAAGAATGGATTCTGGAACGACCCAAATGTCGGGAACAGGAACGGCGAAAGCAATCGGGCATCTCAGTCTCTCCAGCGCTGCCGAAGCGGCACGCTGTAGGTAGCTGCCGCTCTGTTACTCAACAGAATGTGACAGCGCAATACACCACATTAAAGCTACTGAGGAATTATGGAAATAGAGCTTGAACATCCTAAAACGGTGTGATTACGCTTTCACATAATATACCTTACGTTTTGTTTGTCGTTGAGCAGCTTGTGAATAACGACATTTCATGAAACATCGGAACATGGCCTGGGATAGGAACAATCCCGTAGGAACGATGACAAGGCCTTTAACCCTATTCCTGGCGGGGGGGGCCTCAGGAGCCCCCCCCTGAGGTTTTTTGGTCATTTCTCCCAAACGCGTTGAGCTAGGAAGCTCAAATTTTCAGACTTTTCCTAAAAGGCTTCTACGCAACATGTCTGAAAATTTTGAGTTGATCTGACCTCAGGTCAGGTCACCAGAGGCGGTTTGGTGACCCTACCTCAGAAAAGTTTGCAATCACGCCAGAGCTAGAGTTTTTGACCGATCAATTTCTTCTCTTCAGGGTTTAGTTAGGGTACCAGTATGTGCAATTTGTATATCTCGGAATTTTGATATCGGTGACCTAAGGTCAGGTCAATTTCGCGACCTCCCCATTATAAGTCAATGGGGGAAAAATCAACTCCCTGTTTTTACCACTAAAACGGGTCGGAATGGCCCCATATACCATACATGACTTCATATACGATCAACCTTCACTACCTTGAGGTCTGTTTTGCTGTTGGGCAGCTGTGAGGTCATGTGACGTCATCAAAGGTCACCAAAGGTTTTTGGCCAATAACTCCGTACAGGAACAAGATACAGACGCGTGGATGGTCTCATTGTGTTCAGCTCGTCAAGACGCATCGAATGATATACATGATGACCTCGAGGTCACGTGACCTGAGGTCAACCTTCGACCTTGACCTTTCGAGGTCAACATATATATCATTCGATGCGGATTGACGAGAGGATCACGATGATGCCCTTAGTTTGTTCCTATCTTGACTAATTCGAAAGTTATTCGAGAAAAACTCTCTCCATATCTAGCGCCGCCATTTTGACTTTTTCGACCCCTGTGACGTCATCTTTGACCTGACCTGAAAATGACCTTAGTAAAAATTGTAGTTCTTGACCGTGCGTATCCGATGCCGTTTACCGCTTGTCGCTATCTTGCTTCGTTCTCGAGATCTCAGGGGGGGGGGCCGAATCGGCCCCCCCCGCCAGTTTCTTGTCCCGGCGGAGCCCGCCAGGAATAGGGTTAATCATGGTTCATCGAGCCATTAAAAAGTTGTCAACAAGCCACAAAAAGTAATCAACTACGAGGCTTTTAATGCACACTCACACCTGTCAAATGCTTCACACATCTTTTATTGAACCATAAGTCCGTGCGCTCTCACCTATGGTCATAGTGTCGACTGGAGGCAGGTCCGGACGGGCAATCATCTCATGTTCCACAGTAATGAGGCCCAGTACGCTGATAGTCAGCATCACCAGAAAATATATCTGAGACATAGAAACACACGTCAAACATTTGAGATTTGTTAGCGGGAAGTCGACTGGGAATGAATATCGGGATTGGCAAAGAGGAATGTAGTTACATATACCTGCTCAATATGACTAGCAGGATTCCAGGCACCTTAACAACCGCGTACAACGGATAAAATCATATGAAATCTCGTTGCTGATAATAAAAATTACAAATGTATTATCTTATTAGAAAAAAAGGTATTTACTTACGCATGTGTAAAAAGCGACGCAGTAGCTTGCCGAACGAACTGAGAACAGGCCGCAGCAGCACGTGTTGAGCATTGTTGGCTTTATATAGGACCGGGACGGTCCTAAAGGAGGCTCTGACACGCAGGAATGGGGTGTCAGCTGTTCAGGTTGGCGTCAGGTCACAACCGGGTCAGGTCACGCGGGCGACCTGAGCGTCAATGGAGCGTCAATGTTGTCCTTCTTTGTGTCGGGTAGCCGATCAGTTGTGGATCTGAAGATGTCTACTGGCCAGAAGAGCTCGTGGGAGGCGACTCCAGGATGTTGCTCGTGAACGCAGACCTGTGGACGAAAAATTTATGTAAATCACAGTGGTGAGAACGATAGGTGAAGATGTCGCTCTCTAAGCAAATATACACGGCGTCCTTTGCCATTACCAGCTGATGGCATAACGTCTTTCACATTTCTACAACATTCTAATCAGTTTTCCTTCTTTCTACCGGGTCGTTTTATTCTATGGCTCCATTTTTATCGCTCGCCCAGCGTGGTTTAGTTTTCTGAGCGCCAGCTCACTGGACCTTTTCCTGCTGGTGAGGGACCGACCGAAACGCTTCAGCGCTCTATAATTGCTCCAGACGGGAATGGTTTGCGGTCGGCAGCAGTGACCGAATCACGAAACGGATGAACTCAGTGAGCGAGGAAGGTCATGTGGAACTATTTGGAAACCAGTCATAACTCAATTACTCGGCTTGAAAATCGTGGTATTCTAATAAACAATGCCCGTTCGGATGACTGCACTAATTAGCCGTAGGATTTGACAGCGGTTAGACGTTTGTTTTTGGCTGGAAATACAATACACATCGACGTTTTGGGTTTTGCGACACTTGAGCGAGCGTCATTTCAGAGAGCGACATTGGAGCGAATCCTTTTCAGCGATTATCAATTTAAGCGATTGACTTTTTCAGCAACGGTGAAGTC